ACAAATGAGTTGACAAAACATTATTTCAATGAATGTCAAAAAGTGCCAGTTGATTCTGCTTTATAACCAATATAAATTTCTTCAAAATCTGACAAAAAATGACATTAGAAAACCTTTTCAAAGGAAGTCTTGTTTTCAATGAAATATAAAGGGAAAAAAAATAAATTGACATACTTTTGGCACATGAGTGTAGGTGTATATATTTCGATTTTCACCTAGGGGCCGGTGGTCTATTGGGGGGGGGGGGGGGGGTAAAATAAGATGTTTTTCTCCCTTCGCATTTTTCGAAGAAGCCCTATTTTGATACTAATAATTAAAGTTCATAAAAATTGCTGCGCAATAGAATAATTTCATGTATATTCATTGTGTTGTCAACAATTAAAACAAGTTCCAATTATGAGTCAAAAAATTACCTCCACCCCTACCATCACCTCAACACAAAAACTTGAGGTCGAAAAATCCTTTTCAAAATGAATTTACTTCTGTAATTTCAGACTGCTGATGAATTTATCTATACATGTACATGTGTATAAACTATTTTTATAAGAGGCCCAAGGGCACAGACTCAATTGAGCATTTTACATAATACATGTATTATATAAATACATACATACATACATACATATATATATATATATATATATATATATATATATATATATATATATATATATATATATATATATATATATATATATATAAGATTATAGACTTATTGATGCCTCTTCTCTGGTTACTGGTTACCCAAATATGAAGAAGTGCTATTTAGAGGCAAACATCTATATGTGCGGGTATTACATACTGTCTTATGAATAAACCACTCACTTGTATTTATTCTTAACATTTTTGTTTTAAATTATTATTCCTATCTAAAAACATTTAAAAATTCATAAGAGATCCAAATTCATATTTTAAAAATTTCCATTCTATATTATATTTCTAATTTTTTTCTTTTCATCATGAATAGTTGCGTTATTTTGAGACAATAAGACTGTACGATTTTTTTGTTTTTGTTTTTTGTTTTTGTTTATTTATTCCTTAAGCCATATGGCTTATCAGATTACAACATTACAAATACAGGATGTATAGCACGGAAGAGATATACATACATAAAATATCTACATATACTTGTTTTAACATACGATTGTTTGTATACAATATTTCCAATCAAACATTAAAAAAAAAAAAAAAAAAAAAAAAAAATCTTTAGTTTACAGATGTAAATCTCTAAGTGCTTCTGCTTTTTGGAGGACTTAATTTCCCTATATTACTTAGTTCACTCACATTTTCAGTTGATAATAATTGTAAAAGTTTATGCATACTAGATCTATACCAATAATACTTTTTAATATAAAATTTCCTGTACTCATGATAAAGTGAGCATTTTAATATAAAATGGTACTCATCTTCAACCTCCATTTGACAACAAAAACATAATCTATTCTCCCTAGGAATATTAGTAAATCTTCCCTTCTCAATCATTAATAAATGTGCACTTAGTCTATATTTTGTAATCAATTGAATATACTTGGTTGGAATAGGTTTCATTAAGTAGGATTGCATGCACAGCTTATTTGTTAAATATCTATACACAGAACACTTTGATGACGAAGAAAAAAAAAGCCTCACATTTTTGTTGGAAACAGTCAGTTAATCTTTGTTTAAAATTTTTTAAAAATATATTTTTGTTTGTAATATTTTGACAATACCAAACTTCTCCAAACCCTAATGAAAATAATAAATATTTTACATTAAGTAACCAATTATATTTTGTACAAGAACTTGTCTCAATTCTTTCAAGCATATCTTGGTAAATACTTTTCAATATACAATTTTCTGACTCTAATAATTTTAACCAAAACTTTATTATACGAATTTTCCTTTGAATAGAAAGAGGTAAACGACCAAGTTCATTATAGATCATCAATGACGAGGTATTTTTTCTCACTTTCAACATAATTTTGAGATATTCTAAATGTATTTTCTCTATAGCATCACCTTTGTGGAATCCCCATATTTCACTTGCATAATTCAATATACTACTTACATAAGTATCAAACAGAGATAAACAAGTAACAAAGTTAAAATGCACATTTTTCATAGACTTCAAAAGTTTAAACATACATTTCCTCCCTTGAGTAGCCAATTTTACCTGAGATTTATGAAAATTACCTGTGTATGTCAGAGTGAGACCAAGATAAGTAAACTCATTGATAGCTTCAACTTCCTCATCATTATAAAACCATTTAAAACTTTGATTCAATCGACCAGATTTCCTAAATACTACTATTTTAGTTTAACTTACATTTACAGATAATTTCCAATCATTACAATATGAGTAAAGCTCATCAAGCATTTTTTGTAATCCTTCAGGAGAATCGGAAAATAATACCATGTCATCTGCATATAACATTAAAAACAATGACACTTCTTGAAGATTAATATCTTGACAATAAGACATGATAAAAGCATTCTCAAAATCATTTAAATATAAAGAAAAAAGTAGAGAAGACAGTGCTTCTCCCTGAAGGACTCCTTGTTCTACTTTAAAAAAGTCACTAAAATTGTTTTTATATTTCACACAACTCCTAACATTCTTATACAGAGACCATATACTGTTAAACATTTTCCCCTTGATCCCTAATGTTATGAGCTTTTTGAAAAGATAATTTCTATTAATATTATCGAATGCCTTACGGAAGTCCACAAAACAACAGTAGAGTTTTTTCCCATTCGAAAGATGTTTATATCAATTATACTTTGCAGTGCAAAAATTGCGTCTATAGTACCAACTCCTGGTCTGAATCCAAACTGTGCATCAGTTAGAATAGAGTTACTTTCGGACCATTTCATCAGTCTATTATTAAGTATAGTTGTAAATTGTAAATATTTTTAACATACAACTCATAAGGGTAATGCCCCTATAGTTATCTGTTACATCTGGGTCTGTCTTTTTAAGGATAGGTACTATTTCACCTAATTCACACCATGTGAGAGGAATATTACCAGTATAAAAAATAACATTAAATATTCTTGTTAAAAGTGGGCTTAGGTCTTCACACATGTATTTAAAATACTCATTTATCAAATTATCTTTTCATGACGATTTTCTGCTTTTTAAACAATTTATAACATCTACAACCTCTTCAACAGTTATATTAACATCTAGTTCATCAAATACAGCATTCATATCATATTCTGTATATTAGAAAAGTCAGTATATGTAACATCTTTACAGACTCCTAGGTTTCTGAAATGTTCAAAAAATTCTTCTACACTAAGATTACAATTGTTTTCTGGTCTACGATTCTTAAAGAAATTAAAAAATTCCCTAGGCGAAGTGCGCCTCACATATTCTAACTGGCTACCTTGACATCGCCTAAACTCACATTTTGCCCTATGCATACATTTTTTATAATCGTTTTTACATTCAATCAATAATTGTCTATTAAAGTGACTTCTACATATATTAAATATAAAAAGTTTCTCCTTGTAAATTCTATACAACTCTCTACATCTCTCATTAAACCAGGGGTTATTCCTACCTACTTCCTTATGTTTTTGTTTATTACATACATTACGTTTACAATATGGCTCAAAAACCTCGTTCAGACAATGTGTAAAATTAGAAATAGATTCCGAGATATCTACCATTCGTTAAAATCAAGAACTTTAAAATCGACTTCATGTCCAAACAATTCATAATCAACTACTGCATAGTCTATTACACTACACCCCAGATGATTGTAAAAAGTCAATTTACCATTAATATCTCCGGGTTTTCGACCATTACATATTCTCAAGCCAAAAGATTTACACATTTCAATCATTCGTTTACCAAAATTATTAGTATTATTATCTTCTGTTAAACGCACTGACATATCACTATCTGAATCATAATTGAAAATATCTTCCAGCGTTCTATGTAGCACATTCGAAATTTCATCGGATTCTATGTAATCTAATTGAGTACACACCCGACTATTCCAATCCCCAATAAGACCAATTAAACCCAATTCACTATAGTTTAACATATCATATTCCAGCTCCTCAAAAATATTCTTATCATACAGATTATAATAGACATTATTTTCATGTGGAATGTACAAAAAACACATAAATACATTTTTCGGGCATACAACAAGGCTTTTGTCTATTTTAACCCAAACAGCAGTATTTACTACCTTGTCGTATTCTAATAGCAATGATTAATTCGTCCAATCATGTTAACCACAGGTGGCAGATTTAGAGAAGGGCGCATATACCCCCCCCCCCCCTCCCGACCAAAAATATAAAATATACACATGAAGATTAATAAATCATGAAAATTGTATTAATTTTACAATTTTTTCAGTTCCAACTTTTTTTCTCTGAGATATCATTACTTTTTCAAAATTAATTAGTTGTGTTAATTTCTCGATAATTACAACTGAATGTAAATCTCGCCATGTGAAGGATCGAGTGTCCATTACAGGCACTTCTTATGTAATAAATATTTTGACCCATAGTATACTATGTATGGATCAAAAAATTTATTACAGAAACAAGTGCCTGTGGTGTCAATCTATGTGTCTGACGACAGTGGGTGGGAATTATGGAAGTTAACATGAAATTCCTCATGTCTTTTAAATCTACAGTGTATTAGACAACATTTTTCTTTTATTTATTTATATCTATAACACTTGAATCTTACGTATTTTAATGTATAAATGTTAAGAATCATGCACTGGCTAGTTTTGTTGGTCGTTAATGCCCTGGCATATCCAACAAACTAAACAGTGATTTCTTAATAAAATATATAGCTAAAATAAGTCGAAAAAACTCCTGATACCTAAGAGCTCCGCCCCCCCCCCCCCGGGCCCCCATCCCAAATGGCCAAACCCCGAACTGATCATGAATGCCCGCACCGCCTTTTCACCGGATCCTGGATCCGTGTCTGTAAATAAGATCCACACGTCATAGGATTGTGAAAGCATGCAGATCTCGTGTCTTGATACATTGTCAATATTGGCTTACATGTCTGTCAGGTCTGAAATAGATGGAAAGTGCGCCATGTTTTGAGGGTTTCATCTACTGATCCAGGTAATAACCATTTTCTGATAAATCGTATTTCTTCTCAGTCTTTGAATCATTCATTAGTTATTTAACGTTACATGACGTATTTACGATGGCGTATGTGTCATTTCAATTCTGCAGGAAAAAATCGGTAAATGTTTTTGAGGTCACCTGAGTCACTCAGGTGAGCTATTGCTATCCTTTTTTGTCAGTCGTCGATCAGCCTGATATAACCTGATAACACAACGGTAACCCAGTTATATATATAACTCTGGAACCACTGAACCAATTTCAACCAATTTCGTCAGCATCTATGGGTGAAGGGGAACAAAATTGTGAAATTCATCAGGTCTGGTACAATCACTAGATTTAGCTACGTAGCTTGAATTACCTACATAGCTTTATTTACCTACCAGGCCCCAGGATCATGAAACAGACTTAGACTTAAGTCAAATTTTCAATCACCTGTAAAATGTTTATTAATTATTGAATTAATCTCTAAATTTGCACATAACAACGCGTTTGTAAAGCAATATTGAAAAATAATTTTGTTCTGCTGGACTTTTTCAAAAAATAAACAGAACATAAAGATTTTGACTTAAGATTAAGATGTTTCATGATCCTGGGCCAGAAGTAGCTTTACGAGGGGTTATCAAAAAGTTCGTGGACTGATGCGATAAAATTAATACAATGTAGTCGTTGATTACAAAATTTATAGGGAACATAAAACAACAAAATTTGAAGAAGTGTTGAAAATTTCAGCTTGATATGTTGATTATTTGCCAAATTATCATTAAATAAAAAGGGAATTATATGATCACCCGGCGCTGTCGCCGTTTAGTTTCATGACGTCCGACAACGTCATTAATTCTCAATGCACGCTCCTTCTGCCTCAATACACTTATCTTGATGAGATTCTCTGGAATAAAGTAAAGACCTAAATCCGTCAAGTTTATATGAATTTACAATGTCATGAACTCCTGATTTCAATGCATTAATATTGTAATTATTAAATCAATACATAGGAAAAGATCCTCTCTTGATTTTGCCACATAATTTTTCTTGTCGGCGTTCAATGTCAACCAATGATCAACGTCACTTTTCGATGTGACTGACTTTGGACACCCTGGCTACAAATCGATATTAACCGTGTGTTTCTTTTCTTGCTGAATCTCTTTTGGTATTTAAAAACAAGTATTTTGGATGAATTTTATTTTTCTGTAACCTGTTAAACATTTTCTAAGGCTATGCCAGGTTTTCCAGGGGCTGAAACCTTATAGAATGTTGTAAAATGATACCCTACCCCCTTTCGACGTTATTTTTAACCCCTTTTTTGTTTGGACATTCAAAATAAAATTTACGATAAAATTTCATTGAATGTACAGAATGAAGTAAAACTTGCAACTTTTACGAAAAAATTGTGTCATATCACTTGAGTGAAATAATTGGATTTTCGGATGCCAAATGCTCATGTAAGATAGAGTTTTTCTAAGTTACACTCAGGTGTAAAATACGTTCTTTTCGAGGTTGCGCCGCCTGGACATACCATTGCTTACAAAAACATTTACGATTCACTAAAAAAATAAAACTTATGATTTATAGTTTATTTTACAGTTAGAAAAGATGATGCTTATTAATTGTTTAAAAATTCATTGATGTACATATAGCGGTTTTATTTTTATGGCGCTAGTCCACGAACTTTTTGATAACCCCTCGTATTAGCTACTAAATCAAACTTATTTCTTAAATTAGCATTTTTCCCAGAAAGTGCAGAAAATTACACTTTGATGCAGTAATAATTTTCTACTTTGAACTCATCTGCATCTGAAAACAATTCATGAAAAAATCACCCTTGGAAATGTGTCTTTTTCTGCACAGTTGCAGTCAAAGTTCTAGAAGTTTTGGGGCTATATCCAACAGTTAATTTGTGACCTAACAGTTACTTCTTGAGTGAAATAACAAAGAAAACCAGTTTTGGTTAACGTGAGCACAATGTGAAGTAATCATACTTATCCACGCCTCATCGCACACAAGGTGGTGTACAGTTACTCAAACAATGGAAATACATATTTTCCTTAAAAGTGTTCAAACTCAGCAATGGAAAAACTATCTCTGCTTTAGATTGCTTTTTAAATAATACCTAGAATAAATATTAGTAGTCATTTACTTGCGACTTTTTTTTCTTTTTAAAATAAAAAGCAAAATTGTGAAAAGTTGCCTTGAAATAGCTAAATAAAGCTACCTGAGGTAGGTAAATAAAGCTACGGTAGGTAATTTTAGCTACGTAGCTAAATGTACTGATTGTACTGGACCTGTTCATTGCCCCTGCCCCCTGAGGGGTGGGGCTAAAACCATCCAAATTAATGCAATCTTTAAATATCTCCTTCTTTACTCATGAACATCAAGAAGTCAAACTATTGGCTTGAATAAATATAATGATCATTGAGCTCTCTACCAGAATTGTGAAATTCATGGCCCCACAGTCAGGGGTTCTGGTGCTAGGGTGAGGCTTTACATGTATAGATTATAAAGTGAAAGTGCATTATTACTTTGAAAATCGTCTTCTCTGCTATTAAGTATTAATCAAACTAAGTAAGTACATAGTTATGTTGAATAAGACTGCCTCTTCCAAAATTGTGAATTTCATGGCCGTTGGGTCAGGGGTTCTGGTGTTGGGTGGGGCTCTATTGACTATATATTGAAAATATATTAATTCTTTAAAAATCTTTTTCTTTACTCATGAACATCAAGAAGTCAAACTGTTGGCATGGATGTAATAAGCATTGAGCTCTCTACCAAAATTGTGAAATTCATGGCTCCTGGGTCAGAGGTTCTGGTGTTAGGGCAGGGCTGTATTGATTATATAGTGAAAATGCATTATTTCTTTGAAAATCTTCTTCTCTGCACCTGGGTATTATTTAAACAAAGGAAGTGCATGGTTATGATAAGCAAGAATGCCTCTTCCAAAATTGTGAAATTCATGGCCCCGGGGTCAGGGGTTCTGGTGATGGTAGGGGGGGGGGCTTTATTGATTATACAATGAAAATGCATAATTACTTTCAAAATATTTTTTCTACTCCTGGTCTACTCAAGGAATCAAGTGTATAGTTATGATTAGCAAGACGAGAGTATTTTAAAGGACAAGGTATGGTAACGACCCAATCTGGCCCCTTATTTGATGTAAAAATCAGAACACGTTTAAAATTGTGATAGTTTGTAGTTAAGAACTTAAAATGATGCTTGTTTTAAAACCAGCACTTACACAGAGGCCACAAGAGGGTGCAAAAGTAGGACATTTTCCCCAATTTCCTCAATTCTGGTCAAACTTCGTCAAATTTGAGATACATTTCACTTCGGGAAACATAGAGCACAAGTTTGCCTATCTGAGATTTTTATACATAAGATGCATCTCGACTGATACTAGTGTATGAAATATATAAATTTGGTAGATAGGCAAGCTTGTGATCTATATTTTCTGAACCAAAATCGATGAAAATTTGCATAAAAAAAGAGAAAATTCGGAAATTGACATATTTTCTGACCTTCCTGTGACCTCTGTGTATCCCATAACTTAGAACCAGTACTGTCTCATTTTGTGGCAGGGGTGACAACAGGTTTTTAACTGATAAACTGTAAAGTTGCATCATTCTTAAAGACACCCCGAACCGGGGGCCAAAAAGGGATCTTAGCCTATCTTGTCCTTTACAAAATTATTAAAAAATGTGGTCCCAGGGGTTCTGGCCCCAAGACCATAAACTGAGAACAGACTTAAGTAAAAATTTCAATCAATATAACTTTTGAAATAATTTTGATAACAAAATTTTTACCATATGTTAAAATTGGAGTATTTTACAAACCAGCAAATTTTTGATAACATAGTATTATGAATGACCATTGACAAGCTATTCAAAGTCAAAATTTGGACTTAGTCTGTTCTCAGTTTATGGTCTCGAGGCCTGGTGTTTCTGTGAAGGGGGGTGGGGGGGGGGCTCTATTGATAATATAATGTAAATGTGTGAATTCTTTGAAAATCTTCATCTAATTGCATAGTTATGATGATGACGGTAACTCTTCCAAATCTGTAAATTTCATGACCCTGGATCATGGTTTCTAGTACCGGTGTTAGGGCTGTGTTAAATCTGTAGTGAAAATGCATTATTTCTTTGAAAATCTTCTCTGCTCCTCAGGGCATATTGGAGGCAAACAAAGTAAAAGTTTTAATAAACAAGGGTGTTTTTACTGAACATCTAGTCCATTTAGTCAAGTGTTCTGGTCCTGGCCAGGGCTCTATTAATTTGTATTCTACTGAGCAAAGTTATTCCCTTTTGCCATTCACCATTGATAATTAATCACTGTAAATAATGTATTTGAAGGTTTAATAGAATAAGAGAATTATGCAAGAACATTTATTGTATAATACAAAATAGTACTTTGAATTCATAGTTTTATTGATCAGATAGACTTGGAAATAATAGATGAATAAAAATGAGACAAATTTAAAATAACTTATCTTTTTTAAAGTTCTTTGAAGGCCAAGAGAGGCCACCCTTACAGAATTGCAGCAGATACTGCAAATGCAGTATTTGCTGCTATAGCGCTGCAATTGTACTTAATGTCTACTGCAAAAATGAAGTATATTTGCAGTACTTATTAGCATAATGTACTGCGCAGCAGTATATTCTAATAATCTACTGTAAATATACTGAAAATGTGCTGCAAAAACTTTTCGTATTTTCTTTTCAGTGACACAAAATTTCATATGCTGCTTTTGTACTGCAAATAAGCTGCATTTCTACTGCATTATCTTTATTATTGATATACTGGTATTAAAGGTATACTGCATTTCTGCTGCATTATCATTATCATTCACAAGTCTGTCATAGGTGTACTGCATTTGTACTGCATTATCTTTATCAGTTAGATACTGGTATTGATGGTACTGCATTTGTACTGCATTATCTTTATCATAATTAGATATATGTACTGGCATCAAAGGTACTGCATTTGTACTGCAATATCTTTATCAC